TTTTTTTTGTATCCTATTGCCTTAACATAATGCTAAATGATACGCGAAAATTTTAGATGACATTAGTATTGGGTTATTTCAAATGTTCTAACCCTTTGGTACCTCTTTTTCAATCTGTTTCTAGAGGACGATTTTCGTAAACATCGCTCATGTCTGAAGGCTCTTTTTTTCCTGGCTTCCAAGAACACTCCCATTTTCGAAGGACTTTGCGATCTATGGTGACTTTGATCACCTTCAAAAACAATAAAGATAGTGAGCTTCTTACTTTTAGCTCTAATTCCGTGAATATCATCTAGAAGAAAAGAATTTTTTCAAACGTTGTGCTATAAACTGCTTTTTGAAAAAATGAATAATTTTGAACTCAGAATTTCATCACAAACATTAGCTGTCGCTGTAGTCCTTAAGCCGCATAAAAGTCTTAAGGGGCAGTAACTACGAGGACTACACGGCGAGGTTGGGCCTAGAGCATCTTGAGAAAATGATGAAGAGATTTTCTCAGTCGTCCGTGCAAAGAAAGGACCCAAACAAAAAATGTATTTCTTGGAGAGCGGACTGAGTGGCTTCCTTCAATTTTTGCAGATTTTGTATGTAAGAATCACTGAAATCAAAATCTGGTATTATATTACTAGTCAGCTGATTTCGACTTTGGTGCAAAACAGACGGATGAAACTCTTGATTTGTGAATCTATGGATTGTGCTCTATACTTCTATATCCCCTTCTTTTCCCTAAAACTCATTTCTAACAATGAATCTGACTTGCCTCCATGACTGCATTTCAGTGCAATTTTATCCAACATCGTTGGCCATCAGAATGGGAGGAAAAGTAGGAAAGGAGACAAAGTAATGACCGAAGCATTCTGATAACACTTACTTGTTTTCTTCGTGTCAACGTGATCTATAACTTCTATGAGATTACCATTTCAGCAGCGATGATGGCATGTCAGCACACAAAACTATCTACGATTTTACGGTTAAGGATGCCAATGGTGAAGAAGTCTCTTTGAGCAAATATAAGTATGTCAGTGCGTTTGTATCGTTTGTACTAAATTTTAAGTTCTTCAGAGGAAACGTGGTCATTGTGGTCAATGTAGCATCGCAGTGCGGCTTTACAAACAATCACTACACAGAGCTGAAACAGTTACAAGACAAATTTTACGATCAGGGCTTAAGGATTGCTGCTTTCCCTTGCAACCAGTTTGCTGGTCAGGTAGGTGTAATCACAACAAAGGGTTTTTTAGACAATCAAAATTGCGTCGAATCCAGTATAACTTACTATTGACTTCCATTCAAATTCATGTACTTTTTTGTCTATCGAAATCTATCGAAATCGTACTCAAACTGTGGCTTGAGGCGTCGTCATCTGTGCCAACTGAAAGAAATCAATCATGTCACTTAGTACGACAAGGTCGACTTTTCTGTTTATAAATGCAATAAATCAACAGAAATGCTCAGAGTTTTTCGTTTTGTATGAAGAATAGATGGTAGGGAGTTGAGCAAGCACGCTAAAAAATTGACCATCAGCGGGCAACTCTAAAATTGCTCAAAGTTCAATCAGCTAATTTCCCTTTTATTGGGTGTAGAATGCCAATTAAGTTTTGCTGAATCCAGTCACAGACTTTTATCAGCATTCTCCATGCACTGGTCACTTTTGAGAAACATTAAAAAAAAAACTCTTCAAGAGATTTTGACCAGTATAGCCAGCTCTCTCTTGTAACCATTTGAAAATAGATTATTGGGTTAAACTTGAGAAATCACGGTTTTAGGGTCACTTTAATGCATTAACGGCGAAAATGTTTGCATGCAAGGCAGAAGAAACCCTCGAAGACCATTTTTAATTTTGAAAGGCTATTTTGATTAAATGTTCGACATGCGCGTCTTGTTTGCTACCGATTGTTTGCGACTATTGAGTGGGAAACAATGTTCACATGAGAATAAAGAACCTGTGATTTCAGAAATACACATTTCATTTCAGGAGCCTTCATGCGAAGCTGATATCAAAAAATTTGTCAAGGAGACATATGACTACGAGCCAGACCTTTATGCGAAGGTAAGTAGCTAATAAGGTAGACGTTAGCAGTAAGTTATATTCTCAGGTTAACGTCAATGGAGACAAAGCCGACCCATTCTGGACATTTTTGAAGACAGAGCAAGGGGGCACGCTGATCGATGCCATCAAATGGAACTTCACCAAGTTTTTAATCAACCGCAAAGGGCATGTAGTTAAGAGGTTGCCACTTCTCCAATCCCTAACCCACTAATTTGCAATTGCCAGTTAACTCAAATTCAGATTTGCTCCCACCACCTCTCCTATGGGAATGAAGGCAGACATCGAATCACTGCTCGAAGAATCTCCATGATTTGTTTTTTGTATGCTGCCATTATGCTGTAATTGTTTTTACGTGTCATTGTTGGACTTTATAAATTGTTAGGATATTGAAACTTTGCAATATAGCATTATGACTCATGCGGTAGTCATTCCTAAGACGAACGGGAAGTGCAAAAAAAGGATCTCGTGGGTGCGGAAAAAGCAATGTTCCTCAGTTTGCCTCCTAAAAATCTCACAGATAAAAAAATGTAGCTTTTCATTTACGTGTAAGCAAGATCTTGGATATTAGACTAAGATGAGTTTGATTTGGAACGGTCTGATTGTGTTCAATTATACGGATCATAACAGCGAACGAAATTATCAACGGTGCGGAGCGTTTGTGCGCAATTTTGGACCGCAACCATACCACCAAAAGTGATGTTGATTGCAAATCAAGGTACTGTGTAGAGCATAATCTCTTCTTCAGAACTGTATACTTACTGTAGATTAGCGATTTGAAATAATGGCTCTAAAGTATCAAAAAACGTTGAAGTTCCTATAATTCGCTCAGTTGCACTTTCGCAGGCATGTGCGCTTTTCATAGTGAGAATTTCATCAAATAAGTCAGGTTTTTGGGAATTTTGTGGCGGCTAAATCAAACTGAATCTGATATGAAGCTTCAATAGCTATTTACAAAGAATTGTAAATGGTGAAAGTGACGATTTTCTTCATGAAGTAAAGCAAGATGAAATCAGCTCCACAACATGTTGCTCAGGATTCCGCGAAATACGTTGGTCGAGAGGGTTATTAAAGGCAGCGTCAGGGCAAAGCCCTTGTTTTGAATTCTGACGCTTGCCGCCAAGGTGAAGACGCAGAG